TTCTTCTTCTTCTTCTTCTTCTTCTTCTTCTTCTTCTTCTTCTTCTTCTTCTTCTTCTTCTTCTTCTTCTTTTTTTCAAAAAAAAAGAAAAAGTCTTTTGTAGCCCTGCTTGGTCCGGTCCAGGCTTGCCTTGCACTCAAAGCAGTCCTCCTGTCTCAGTCTTCTGTGTTCAGGGATTATAAGCGCCCGGCACCACACTTGGTTAAAACTTTTGCCATTATTAGATCTATTGTTTTCTGCATATTCAGATACACACACACACACACACACACACACACACACAGATAGATAGATGATAGACAGATAGATAGATAGATAGATAATAGATCGATAGATAGATGTACAAACTAAAATATAAAATTAAATTACAATATGGTGAGATTTGGGTGCAATCCTTCCCTTAGTCTTTCCCTATTTCTATGTTCCTGTTAAGAGTTCTAAAGCTTCAGCTTTCACGCCTAAGCGTCTATTTTAGAGTCTCTTCTGGTTTCACACAGCTGGCAACTCAGCTGCGGTTGAAGGGTTATCCGAAAGCTCAACAACTCAAGCATCGCCCCCCTTCCTTCTGGAGACGGCAAGGTCCACACAGCGCAGCGCAAGAACCCCTGTTTGGCTCGGGTGGCGGTGGGTTGGGGGTGGGTGGGCGAGGGAAGCCTCTCACCATGCAAGACCTGGCAGGAACCAAACAGCCCTTGATATCCTAAGACCCCCTAGTACCCCTTCCACCAGCCCCGCCCCAGCCCACTCGGGCCCCAGCCACTCTCCCAGACCCCGCCCATCCGGAATCACGCACTCTCCGACACTCCGGGCTCCGCCCTTACGTTGCACTGGATCCCGCCCACCCGGCTCCAGGCTCTTCCACCCGGAAACTGTCCTGCTGGTTCAGGGTCTGATCTCCCCACTTGCGGCTTCGGGCCATGGAGGGGGACGGCCCCGCCGCCACGGTCCCGCACTACCAGCCGGCCTGCCCAACGCGGGACGCGTGTGTCTACAGCAGCTGCTATTGGTGAGCGAGCGCGGTCCCGGGGATCCGCGCGAATGCGCGCCGCCACCAAATGCGCCCTCCTCCCGGTCCTCTCCGGATCGCTGCAAGCCTACACTGCCAGGTTTTGGCGCCGGATTGAGGAGGGTTGGGTTCCTTAGCTGAGCCTGGGCCGTGTGGGTGTCTGAGGCGAGGGACGACGGCGCATCTTAGTGCCTGGGTACAAGGAAGGGGGGAATTGAGCTGGAGACCCTGGGTACCTGCTGAAGCCTGTGTGGTTTGAGTGGAGTACAGGTCATGTTAATTTTAAAGACAATGGAGACACAGTTTGAGGTAGCCAGAAATCCAGTTGAGGCAACACTTAACGCTACTGTAACCTACTGGCGTGATGATAACGGTTGCATTTGCACTTTCCTCTGCCTTGTTTTGGGTGCTTTGTGTAAATTAACTCAGATACTGTTCGATTGTAGCTTTGAAGAATTCCAAGGCACCAAAGGGTTTTTACTCAAGGCGTCAGATTGTAAGGCTAGTGCCCTAGTCTGCTTCTGCCCCTCCAACACGGTCCACCTTGGCTTTTTTTTTTCCAAACCACCTCACCTTCCTTTTTAAGTTTTATTTACATATTTATTTATTACAATTTATGCACTTTGTATCCCCACTGCAGCCCTCTCCCCCAGTCTCCTCTCAGCCTCCCCCCCCCCCGTCGCACCCACCCTCTCTCATCTCCAATGCCCTTTTCCTAGTCCTCTAATAGGGGAGGTCCTCCTCCCCTTCTATCTGACCATAGCTTATCAGGTCTCATCAAGGCTGGCTGCATCATCTTCCTCTGTGGCCTGGCAAGGCTACGCCCCCCAAGGGGAGGTGATCAAAGAACCGGCCACTGAGTTCATATTAGAGATAGCCCCAGTAACCCTTACTAGGGAACCTATTTGGAAATTGAGCAGCCAATGGACTTCTATCGCGGTTCTCTCCATGCATGTTCCTTAGTTGGAGTATTGGTCTCTGCAGCTCCCCCTGGGCCCAGGTATTTTGGCTCTGTTCTCCTTGTAGAGTTCCTTTCCCCTCCAGGTCATTCTGTCTCTCTCTTTTTCTTGTGTAGGGACTTTTTCCCCATCCTAGGAGTAACTTCCAGGTCATCTAAATATACTCTCCCCATTCCACTTGGCCATTCAGCCAGTGACACTAAGACCTTAACATTTATACAGCCATGACCACTACAGCCCAAATTTTGCTGTGACCCTTTAATACTGTTCCCTATGTTGTGGTGACCACCCCCCCACCAAAAAAATTATTTCATTGCTATTTTATAACTAATTTTGCTACTGTTATGAATTGTGATGTAAATATCTGATATGTAGGGCATCTGCTTTGTGACTCCTTGACCCACAGGTTGAGAACTGGTGGTAGAGCAATGCCTTGGAGACAGGTACCACGGTCATTATTGCCAATACAAAGCCTGCAGTATAGAATGGTCGTGGTTTGTTCTGGACCACACAACTAAGTTGTGGAATTAAGTCTGGAGTCTGTGATGATTGGAGCCCTTGTTTCTTAGCCATTGCATTGTGTATCTGCCCTGCCCAGTTACAAAGTCCTGCCAGTTTTTATCTGGAACATCTACTCTGTTTTCCTTCATTTAATTTCTTAGGGATGTGAAATGTGTGCTGGATGATTCTGTGCTCCAAGGGTATAGCAGGGAGTAAACTTCCTGGCAGGATCTCACGATTCTTATATTTTAGTGGGGTTAAAGCAGTCAACAACAAGTAAACTAAGTTCGGTTTGTGGTGTTTTGATACATTTTAAAATGATGCCATGCACACAACAGATCTTATATGAAAGAGTTTTTTTTTTTTTTTTTTTCCAGGGGAAGGGGAGTGGAAGAGAGGGCCTGAGTGAGCCATGAAGGCAGAGAGACAGACAGAGGGACAGAGATGGAGGAGGGGCCACTCCACAGGAAAACCAAAGCAGAGAGAGAGGCAGGGGCCCTTTTATTCCAGGCCCCCTGGCGGCAGCTACTGATGATCACATCACAGGTGCCTAAGCCCCGAGAGTGGGCTAGTGCATCAATAGTTGTGCACTAACGCTAAGGGCTATGAGAAAAATAGTACAAGAGAGAAGATGGTGACCTATAGTGCTTCACATTTTGGATATTTAAGGAAGGCATTGTTGATAAGGTGATGCTGAGCAGAAATCTGAAGGGAAAGCATGGGAGCTTTGTAGATACTAGCAGACGGTCATTTCAGTCAGGGAGCACGGCTGATGCAGTCCTGAGAGGATACACGTCATGAGTATTTCTGGGAGCAGTGTGTGAGAGGGGGGTGCTGAAAAGGAGTGGCACAGTCTGGTGGAAGACAGACAAGAGGTAGCACCTCTTCAATGGATGATCTCCGTTTGGCTCCTTGAGCTGCAGAGCCCTCCTCTGCCATCCTGGGGACGATTCCAGTTGCTTCCTGACAGCCCATTTGTCTGCTTCTGTGATGGTTAATGGTGTTGATTTGACAGGCTCTGAGATCCCTGGGGAGACAAACCTGTGGGTGTGCCTGCGAGGGAGCTTCTAGACTGGGCTAATTGAGATGGAAGATCCCCGCCCCCCAATGTGGGTGGCACCATTCTGGTTTGTGGACTGACGGACTGACAAGACTGATGGACATCCCTGTCTGAATAAAAATAAGAAAAAGAGCCAAGCACCGATATTGATCTCTCAGCCTCCCTGACTGGGGCTCAATGTGACCAGCTGCTTCGTGCCTTCCCCACCGTCACACTGTGCTAGAGTAGACCCTTTCTTCCTTATAATGTTGCCAGCTGGGCAGCGGTGGTTGGTGCATGCCTTTGATACCAGCCCTCAGAGGCAAAGGCCAGACTGGTCTGCAGAGATAATTCCAGAACAGCCAGGGAAACCCTATCTCAAAAAGCCAAAAAGGAAAAAGAAAAAGATGTTGCCATAGCAATGGACAAAGTAACTGACACTATTCCATCTACAGCTCTTTACACTCTGCTGGTTTCGTGCTGCTCAAAACGTCAAAACTATTCTAAATTTGGATGTGTTGAAGAATCATCTGAGAGCTTGTAAAACCTGTCTATCTTAGGGTTCTACCCTAGAGAGTTTGGATTTACAGGTAGTATGGTGGAGGATGATAGGGCTGCTTCTTTAAAAAAAAAATTTAATGTTGTCTACATATTTGTCCATACGCTTCATGTGTGACTGGTACCCAAGGAGGCTAGAAGATCCCGAGATTGGATTTAGTGCTAGGTCCTTGGGAAGAGCAGCCAGTACTTTTAACTGCTGAATCATCTCTCTAGACTCCCTTCCCCCTTTCTTTTCTAAAAGACAGGATGTCACTGTCTGTCCAAAAACTTGCTGTGTAATCCAGGCTGGCCTCCAACTCACAGACGTACTCCTACCCCACCTCCTGTGTGCTGGGATTAAAGGCCTGTGCCACCACGCCAGGCTTGCTTCATCATATTTTTTTGCCGCAGAGCCTATCTCTGGGCATCACAGGTTATCCGGTTAGTTTTTCCAAGGCCTGTGTTCTTCCAACCTTATTTTGAGCCTGCCTTCTCTTCCCTATTGAAGGGTTCTCAGCCTTGGCTCTGTTGGCATTCTGAGTGTCAATTCTGTGTTCCATGAATTTAAGGGTGTATAGTAGCATTCCTGTCCAGTATCAGATAAATGCTATTACCAGCTTTCCCCCACGTCCAAGCAGTGACAACCAAATGTATTTCTTAAATTGCTTGTCCTGCTGTGATTGGCATGCCAGTAAGCACACCTGACTGCGTTTGTTTCTCCAGTTCTTTTAACTTGAAATAAATGCTGCTTCTGCTGTATTCTGGTAGTTGTTATCTTTTCGGTCTCACTTAATGATAGTGGTAGCTAAGATTTGGGTGGGATTGTGTGGTTTTGCCGGTCCCCCACCTCCTTTTCCTTCCTTTCCCTGTCCCAGTGCTGAATATTGAATGGCCCAGGGTCTTTTTTTCTGAGACAGGGTTTCTCTGTATAGCCTTGGGCACCCCTGTAGTCGGCTCCTACCCTGGGTCTTGAGTTTTCCAGCATGCCACTGAGATAAACTCCGCTACCTCACTCCCACCCCTAGCCCTTTACATTCCGTTTTGTGAGGGATGCTCCCTTAAATCTGCTTCTTAGAATTCAGTTCATGGGTAACCCCTGCTGCAGCCCTTTTGTTGCTCTGCTAGCCCTTTTGCTAGGGATAAGATCAACTGATATCTTGGAAATACTATTATCACCACTCCCTGTTTTGTTTTTTCCATTTAACAGTAAAAATAGGTTCCAGTATCCATGACAAAGGCAGAGTACTTTCTGTTCCTGCTGCAGCTCCCAGCATCCCCAAAATATAAAGATTCACTCCCAACCCCCTTTAACATCAAAAGTTTCATGAAAAGGTGGGGCTAGAGAGATGACTAAGCAGTATGAGCACTTCTATTCCCAGTAGCCACATGATGGCTTACCACTGTCTATAATTCCATTTGCAGGAAATCTGATGCCCTCTTCTGTCCTCCTTAGGCTCTGTACACACATACACAGACATATGCAGGCGAAACGCCCCTACACATAAAATGAATCTTTATTTTTAAAAAAAGTTTCACTCGGCATGGTGGCATGTGCCTGTAATCCCAGCACTCAGGGAGGCAGAGGCAGGGAGATCTCTGAGTTTGAGGCCAGCCTGGTCCTCAAAGCAAGTCCAGGACAGCCAAGGCTACACAGAGAAACCCTGTCTCAAAAAAGTTTCATGAGTTGGGTATGGTGGCTCATGTCTATAACCTCAGCACCTGCAGGCAGAGGCCAGGAGAATAACTTCAAGTTTGAGACTGGCCTTGGTTCCATAGCAGGTTCTAGGCCAGACCCTGTTTCAAATATGAAACAACACAAGTTTCATGAGATTGCTCAACTTAAGTATTAGTTGTGTTATGGAAAATAATTGATGGCTGATTTTGGTGTCATATACTTGTAAACCTAGCACTCATGAGGCAGAGGCAAGAGGATCTTTATGAGCATGAGGCCAGCCTGTTCT